CGCAAATTTCCTGTGCTTTTGTTTCTTTCAGGCAAACACATGTACATTAACCTCTGTTTTTCTCTTCCATGTTCTGTCAAAGCAAATGCCCTGAAAAACAGAGCCCCGAATCCTTTTTGTAGCAATACGTTAAACTTTCGAAGGAACGGGCTTAACTTACTTAAAATCCTGCATATAATTCATCTTCGCGGTGAAATATTTGGTGTTGAGAGAAATGTTTTTTTTGTTGAGAGAAAGAGTTTCGTTTATAAAAAATGTATTCTGGTAGAGAACAACGACAATTACAGATATAATTCTGATTTTTTCGCTTGTGGTCTAGAAAAAATGAATTTTCTCACTGAGGAAACAAAATTGAAAAAAAGCGATACGTCTGTTAAAGGTCCCGGATCTTTGATGACTCTCGCTTTTGCTGGATAAAAATAAATTAAACTAAAACGTCTGTGAAGAATTGAACTATCTATTTATTGCACGATGTTTTACCAGGTTTTTTCTTCGTCCACATGGTGCAAAAGGGTGGAATGTTTAATGCATAATGGATATGTAGCAGCACGGTGAGAGCTCATATGATCGAGGAAAACTCAAAAAGTTGATTGCATCACCTTCTCGAAGAAAAGTTCGAGCAGAACATGATGTTATCAAGTCGGAAAACAGGATCCAAAGGTATTTCAAAAAGTATAGGAAATTGCGTTTATTGTTTGATTTATACGTCTTATTTGCATGAAGCGTAGTGAAGACACGCGTATATATAAAATTAATATGCAAAATTGAATAAGTTAGTTGATAACTGTAGAGTAAGTACACATCAATTGAAAGAGTTAAAAGATGTGAATAAAATTACTATTTACTTACTTACTTATTTTGAGCTTAAACCTGAAATGAATTGTATCATGTTCCCGACGAGAAAATCAGGTAAAACATGATGAAATTAGTCTCAAAGTATACTCTTTAGAGAGGGAATTTTCTTGCTCATAGAAATTAGAAAATATAAAAGTCAACTAGATGTTCTTATATTGATCACAAATTAGAAAGAGAACTTGTTTATCATACGGGAAGAGAGAAAAGAAAGAAGAAAAAGACAACATTTTCTCTTTTTCATCGTGAACACAAATGTATGAGTAATTCTGATAAAAACAGTATCGTTTCTGTGAAAAAATTTGGTTGAAACAAAAGGTAAACACCTAGGTTTTCTCTTATCATCTATCGATAGTGTGTACCTAGGAGTATCACAAAACACGGGTTAGCAAACTACCACTACTTTGTTTTCTAGATTTGAAAAACATTTTTCTATTAGCGGCGTCAAAACACCGTGCACTTGGTTGTGTTTTGAATATCTTTTGATAGAAAAGAGCTAGAGAGCTCCGATTTTCACCAGTGGAAAGAGGAAACTTGGGGGCATATTTCCATAAAAGTTTTCTGAAAAAAAAGATTTTGCGACATGCCCGATCCGAATATCGCAGTCTTGTAGCTGAAATCCTTGCGGATGAAAAATGTGGGTAGTTTTCACACGAGGTAAAATCGCGTTGATTGTGGTGACTGTGGTAACATTTTGAAGGACTTGACATAGAATTCAAATCTCTTCGCTGTCGGCATGTTTATCTGATTCCTTGTCGATCTTGAAAGTCCCAACTTTCTAGCTATAGCGGATCAAAAGCTGACAGTTTTCTAATGTATCAAACGTTCTTAAATAAGAAATGTATGAGCGAAGATGCTAATTTTGTTCAGTGAGGGTTCAAAACTCACCCTTTTTATAGCTATAGACTAATCATGCACTCAAAAAAGTGGTCACAAAAGGCTAAACTAGAACCGATAGATCAATTTTATAGAGGTACAGTGTAGACGTACACTTACCAGCTTTTCTTGCTGAAACTAATTCTTTATCAATCACTTTGTGTTTATCATCTTCTGTAGCTGGTATCAAATAGGCATCAAGACGTTGAAATTCACAATCAATTTGGTTTCCATTTGCTGTGTCTTCAATAAACTGTACAGCTTTATGATTTGAATCGCACACTAATTGTGCTGCCTCTTCGCCATACATTTGTTCAACAACGTGATAATAATCATCAATTTCAATTTGTAAATGTGCCGTTGTGCGACCGGTTTCACCTGAACATATTTCACCGTCATCAATTAAAATAATTTGTTTCAATGGATCATGAGATGCCAGACAATAAGCGCTTTGTAAGCCAGCTAAAAATAACACAGATTATCAGTATGCCGCATCTGTTTTCGGTACCGTGCAGAATTTCACTTTGTAGTAAATTGTATTTTTGACACAAATGCTAAGTATTATGCGGTAACTTCAGCACCTTTCTTATATACATTTAGTACATACCTGTACCCATATATACTATACATATAATAGCTACACGTGTCCCTAGTAAAAACCTTAGACACTTCTTAAAATTATCTTACTAAGATCATATAAGATCTTATCCTTTAAGATTTTGGTAAGATAATCTAAGAGCTTATCGTTTAAGATCTTAATAAGATTTAATGACTCTACTTCCATTCAGCCCTTTGTTTTGCTCTCATTCATCTACAAAAGTAAAACCGAAAATATGCCTGATTTTGCGGTTATTTTTCTTCCAGACTCTGCCAGTATGTGCTCTCTCGAAAGTGTTCAACAACTTTTTAGAGAGTGTATATGTAGGTCAAGGTCCATAGTTGGACATCTGAAAATATGAAATTTCTCTTCATTCTTCGACACAGTTCAACTGCTGCTTTGGAAAATGTGGATTAAAATCTGAAAAATTTTCAGCGAACCTTGAATGAATATTATTTAAAAAACAACGTCGTTCTTACTGTTAAGAACTTAACAGATTCTTATCCAATCTTGAAAAAATCTTAGACAGTATAACCTTAATAAGATCTTTAAAAAAATCGTGTTAAGATCTTAGAAGATTTCGCTGACATTTGTCTAAAATTTTAAATAAATCTTACTAAGATCGTGAGATCCGAGTGCGATGTGGAAAACCATCGTAGAAGGCCGTGGTCTGTCTATTCTGGGTGGGGGTTTACACACTATGCCGTGTACAAGCATATTTTGTTGTTTTGTAACAAACAATGAGTCGTTTATTGGTGTAATGAGCAGTCATACAGTTTTAGTCAAAGATATCTACTTTCTACAGAAAAACTTAACCGGAAAGTAGCAATGATACTAAAACCCCATCTCCTTATATTGGACACTTTCAACTATAGATACACTCGACCTGAACAACTTATGCTGTCTTAGCTGTTCATTTACTTTTTAGACCAATATATAAGTAAAAACACTGAATATCTTGTGCAATCACCGTTAACCTTGTTTAGGGCTGTTACCAAAATATAAATCGATAATTTTTAATATTTTTTTCAGGTACGTTGCACTTAATATGGTTTTATTTCGAAGATTTTCAAACGATCCGAGTGTTATCGGTTCATCAACGATTGCCTGTCAATATTATTCCATTTAGAATGCTAGCAACTCTATTAAGATGTCTATTTGTATGTGCGTGCATCATCTTTACGTACTAAATTTTGAGTAGTACGAAAACAGACTTTCACAGTTTCGATTTTTCTAGATTGTTTTATCCAATCACAGGCTTCTCGGTATTAGACATCTATGAAGATCCATAATACCTTCTGATTATGCAATAAGCAGCTATCAGTCTACACTTCTGTTACCTATACGCTGAAACGTCACTTCTTAAGAAATTAACCTTTGCTCTTCGCGATTCTTTTATCGATTACAGGAGTAAGAAACAGCCACTACAACGGACATCAGAAGCAACAGATGGAAAAACTATTTTCTGCCACCTGAAATAATGCAGTTTCTATAGGTGTATAAAGGGACGAATGAGACTTTACGCCTCAAACTCTTAGATGGGGATAGACGCTTCTGTTTTCTTTTCTCTTTTTGACTGGAACCTTTTCAAACTTGTAAGTTTTCCAAAAGACAAAAATATGCAACTCATGCTTAAACTCCTATAGTCTTATGTAACATTACATATGAACCATCTCGTATAAGCGACTACAGACACTGCTCAAACGTATGTCACAGAACTCGTTCAAACCAGTCATGAAAAAAAATATAGATATTTCTGAGTAAAATGGCGTTTTCCGTTTGAAAAAACTATTGCTTGGTTGCTAAGAAACGAGCATTCGTCATTTTGCTTAGAAATGTCTATATTTTCTTTTATGACTGGTTTGAACGACTTCTGTGACATACGCCTGAGCAGTGTTTTATGTAACGCAGTCGCTGCTTATGTGAAATGGCTAGTATATATGGAATAAACTCTCCAACACATCGTGCTTTCCTGGTTAAACTTACCAATCCCAGCTCCGACAACAATAAAGTCACATGTTTCATCATAAGTAAGTTTTGAAAACGTTGGACGTTCAAGTGAATCTAACCAGTATGGTAATGTACAACCAGATGAGTATGAACCATCTTTATCGTCAATTCGAGGCACCGGATCGGAATTTATACCTAATACGAAAATAATAATTGGATGAAGACCTTAAAAGATTATAGACTAGCAGCCTAAGCTTACCAGCCATAATTAATTTAGGATTTTTTTTGTTTTACTCTTACTGCTTCGAACTATTATTTAAAATAAAGTCACGTTTCTTTCCGCTGTATTTCTACTATTACGGACGTACGCCTTATGTAAGGTTAGCATATCTTAAAGAAAGGAAGAAACTTTTTTTTTTTGAAACAGTAGAAGGAGAAAAAAAAGAGAAAAGGTCGATGGTTCACGATAAGAAAAAGAGTAGAGTCTTTCAGAATCACTTGTTCTTTTCTCTTTCTCTTGTTTTTATGTTTATTTTCTATCGTTCTGAATCATCTTTGAAAGAAACAGGGAAGAGAACAGAAAAATATGTCCGTATGAAAGAGAAAAACAGAGGTACATGTGTTTGCCTGAAAGAAACAAAAGTACAGGAAATTTGCA